CCCAGAGCACCTGAGAGCCCTGGAGACATGGTCAATAAAGACTGAATATGTAGGAGCCTCAGCAGTAAAAGGCAATTTCTGCGAGGCTGACCCATAGGGAAGGTTTCAGGTTCACATGTGGAGACCTCCTTGAGTACACCAGGCATACATATGGCCACAGCCCAGAGCCAGCTGAGGCTGGAGGGTGGACTGCGGCATCAAGACCCTGTTAGTAATGCACTATTTCTCTCTCTCTCTCTCTCTCAAAAAATGTTTAAAGTTTTAAAAACAAAAAAGAAAGAAAGAGGGCCAACCCCATGGGCTTGTGGTTAAAGGAGCTGGATCCTGCATGGCCAGACAAGCAGTTCAAGTCCTGGCCCCAGAGGCTGAAAAAACTGCTGGGCACATGTGCATGCATGTCCAGAATTTTGACAGAATGGAGAAATGGAGAAGACATTGGACAGTGAACATGACCCTTTGAAGGGTACTTTCCCCCTCTTCCTCTCTCTTTGTCTCTCTGGCTATCTCTACTGGTGCATGTGCCCTCTGGCAAACAAGAAAAAGAAGGAAGGAAGGGGAGAGGGAAGGAGAAGTATTTATAAACAGCAGCTAGTGCTATGAAGGAGCAGCCAGGGTGAGCTAGAGAAGATAATAGGAAGTGCCTACTTTAGACCCAAGGAGGGCTCTCTAGGAACAGAGTATTTCAACAGAGACAGGAAGTATGAGAGAGGATTGGCTTAGAAAAGATGTTAGGAAGGATCTTTATAGGAAGGAAGCAGCATGTGCAAAGGTCCTGCAGGCTGAAGGGAACAGAACTGTAGGGTCAGTGGGTTGAAGCATAGCTGGCAGACATGGGTTGGGGTGGGGAGGAGGGAGAAATGCAAGATGGAACAGAAAAGGTAGGCAAGAGCTAGGTCAGGCAGAGCCTGTGGGATGGAATAGAGGCCCAGCGCCTCCTGGAGCCTTCCCAGACTTCTTCAGTTCTTATTTCCCCATCCAGGTTTTTCTCGACCTTGCTGTTTCCATCACTTAGCCAGACCAGACACTGCCTATTTAAACCTCCAGAGTCAAGAATGCAGAGGGAATTGACTTGTTTGCTGGAAGCTGACCCAGACCACTCTGAAGTCCTGAGTGTCCTGTTCCGTGGTTTGAGGATGAGGTCGGTGCAAAGCTGACCTGGGATTACAGTGTCTGACTCTGTCCTCCCAAGGGAACACCCAGCGTGAGCACTAGGCTGCCCCCACTTATTTCAGCTTCTTTGGGTACTTTTGAATGAGGCCCTTATCAGGGTGGGGAATCTCTGTTTTCAAAAATTGATCTGTCCCTTCTAACAGGATGTCGGACCTCTCACGCCATGGGGCTATGCTGAACTCCAGAGGGCCCGGGGGCATGTGAGCCGGACAGCAGGCCTGTGAGAGGCTGGTGCCTGGCCTCACCATCCCCAGGGGAACTAAATAAAGCTATTGTTGGGAAGGGAAGAGAGAAAATAGCCGACAAGATGTTTTTTGTCCTCCGTGACCTGTCTGTGTTTGGGGAGAGGCTGGCATGTTGCAAAGAAGTGGAAATAGGATTGGCCTTTGCAGCCCATGTCAACGGCTCAGGAAGGGAAGGGAAGTGGGGGCAAGGGTGAAGACCTGGGCAGCAGTGGAGCAGATGCCCATTCTCATCTGTCTGGCCTCAGGCAAATGGCTTGCCTGTTTTCTTGTCATGGAGGAGGAAAGAACGCCAACATATATGAAGTGCCTGGTCCCATCCCCGGGCCTTACACGACAGTCAGTAAGTGCAGTCCTTTTTTTTGGGGGGGTGGGGGGAGAGGTTTTTGCTATAGGGCACGCGCGCTCGCCAGACAGACAGAGAGAGACAGAGAGATAGAAAGCGAGAAATCACCCCCCAGGGGAGATGGCCACGCCGCAATCCCTTCTCCACCATTCTCCTCTCGTGATCTTGGGCACGCATGCACACGCGCCTGGCGTGAGTTTAAGCCACCGGATCTGGGACTCGAACCACAGTTGACTATGTGGGAGTCCAGCAACATAGCCATTACGCTAACTGCTGGTCCCAGTAAGTGCAGTCTTCATCAGCCTGGGAGATGATAGAGCGGGTGGACTCACCAGTGTGCAATACAATGGTACCCATTTTCTTTCTTGAACTGTAACAGATGACTTAGAAATTGATCAGAGGCCCCGCCTAGGCAGCACAGTTCATAGCATACCGGATTGTAGTGCTGGGAGCCACATGGCCGAAGGCCGGGTCAGATCCACATCTGCCCAGTTGACCTGAAATGTGCATGCCCAAGATCCTAATGAGCTGAAGAGCCAGGGGGGTGGCAGGATCATGGCATGACAGACCCTGCCAAGAGTGCTCCCCTCTCTCATGCGAACACATGCATGTGCAAGTGCTCTCATAAATAAAAGAAAAAGAAAAAACCTATCAGAATGGCTCCAAATTCTGTTGCTTCTCCCTTCAAAAAGGTCATGGCCCAGCCTCTAGTATTAGAGTACTGGTTCATAAGGACAAAGATGTTTAATGATGTCTTCCCTATAGTAGGAGAGAGAGGACAAATAACATGAATATTGTTAATAGGACAATGGTTGAAGAATTGCAGCTTGTGTGCATTGAATATTGTGTAGCTATTGAAACTACTGCGTGAAAATGGTGATATTAAGTGATAAGAGCTACTTTTGAAAAAAAAAAAACCTTAACTTCAACCACATATGTGCATACATGTTTGTAAAGATTGAACATGCCTATCGGTTGGAGAAATACCTATCGGACCCGCCAGACAAGTGAGATTACCTGGGCTGGAGAAAGGGAGTGAAGGAGAAATGTAAGAAAAGTTGGACCAGACCTATAGCCTGGTAGTTAAGGCAGCTGGATTCTGCATAGCCACCTATGCAGTTCAAGTCCTAGACCTGCTGGCTTGAGAAACACACTGGGTGTGTGTGTGTGTGCATGCCCCAAATCCTGAAAGGATGGTGAAATTATTACAGGGGATTACAGTATGGCCATTGCCCCTGGGGAGTGCTTTCTCACTTCCACTCTTTGTCTCTCTCCAACAAGTGCACATACTCCATGGCAAATTTAAAAAAGAAAGAAAGAAGAAAGAAAGAAAGAAAGCCTGTAGCAAAAATAGAAAAAAAAAACTTATGGTATATTATTGAGAAGATAGATATTCATTATATTCATTTTCTAATGTTATTGTACAATACCCCAGGTTTTTATGAGATATATAAATGGGGATTATAAAATAACAGGACCAATACAAACACTGATTTGATTGGCTGATGAGGTTGTGTGCAATTCTTACATTGAATTTCTATGGTCATTTTAATACCACTATCTCCAGAAAGAAGTGTCACTTTAAAAAAATGATAAATAAGAGAAAATCTCTCAGGAGGTCCACCCACATCTCCATCTCAATCCAGGCCTACCCAGTGGCATTTAATCTTTGTTGTAACATTTCCAAATTGTTCTCTGACCCTCAGTCTCTCCCAGTAGAATGCATCCTGCCCACAACTGGCAGGTCGCTGTGCTGTTCCAGAACTATCCTACTTCCCCATGGCCCATCCAAGCAAACTCCTTCCTTTGGTTTTTGAAGGCCCAGATGACCTGATCCCGCATTACCTCTTCCTTCTCTCAACACAAGCCAGAGTGTTCTCTGAACCATGACTGTGTCCGCCAATCACATTCATGGCTCTAAAAAAAATTAAAAATGAAAAATAAATGGTGATTCCAAAACAAAAAAGTAAAAATTGGCTAAGGAAATTTCCCCTGAGTAGAATGCATTGTGTTCTATAGATTTTCAAAATGTTTGAAATATCTTATGTACACAATGGAATATTATTCAGCCATAAAAAGGATGAAATCCTGTCATCTGTGGTCACAAGAATAAGTCTGGAAGAAATAATGCTAAGTGAAAAAAGCCAGGCACTGAAAGACATACACTGCATCGTCTCACTCACTAGTAGAAGCTAAACTATTTGACAGCATAGATGAGTGTGAAACTGGCTACCAGGAGATTAAAGGGAGAGGAGAGGAGAGCAATGAGGAGAACGTGGTAAGCAGGTACTAGAGTGCATGGAGATAAGTGGGATGAGTTACAGGGTACTGTAACACAGTGGAGTGACATGTTGGTGACAATTCAATGTTATACTTCAAAATAGCTAGAAGGGAGGACGTTGACTGTCCACACCACAAAGCAATGATAAATGTTTGAGAGGGTAGGTGTGCCTACATGCCTCATAGCCCTTGCTAAGAGGACCGACTGAAGCACAGATGCCATACTGAGAGCCTTCCTTGGATCGGCTCATGTTCTGGGAGCTGGAGTTACCACAGGGAACGAACCATGCAAAGCTGCCCTCATGACGTGTACACTCTAAAGGAACTAAAACAAGGCCATCGCTTAGCATGGTCCCTGATATGGACCTGTGAGTGAAAGCTTGGGCCAGTGCTGTGCATGACCACTGTTATCACAGGGTGACCTGAGGAAGGCTCGGGGAGGTAATGAGAATGTTCAGATAGTCAAAGTGTTGTTGGAGAGAATAAAGGAAGGCAGAACTGGGCCAGGGACTATGACGGCACCCTCCGCTGAGTGCTTACATGTGTAACGACACATAAATTCTTCACAGCAACCTTTGGAGTGAATACTATTGTTGTCATCCCCATTTCACAGATGAGGAAACTGAGGCACCTCAGTCAACAATCTGAGGTTTCACAGTGGTTAAGCCAGGACTAGGATCCAGCTGGTTTGCACCACTCCACTATCTCTGGAGATGGGCTAATACCCCCCAAGCAAGCTGGATATAAGAGCTCAGAGCTTCCTTTGGAAGCCAAAAGTGCCAGGCTGTTTGAGACCTGGCAGAATGACCATCTGTCAAAGCATTCTTGTGGGGATTCCTGGCAATGTCAGATGAGTGAATCTTTCTACAAAATAGGCAGTGCCCAGAGCCTCTGGCAGCCCAGAGTCTTGGCATGGCAATGCTCTGAGATGCTAATGAGTGATTTCCTCTTGTCTCTTTCAGCTCACTGCCCCCCACTTCCCTGTGGTGATCAAGCTCGGACATGCCCATGCCGGAATGGGAAAGGTATGAGAACAGCACCTGTGTTCACAGGGGATACTCCCACAGGTTCTCCAGACTGCCTATTCCCCTCTTTCTCTATCCTTCACCATTCTCACCTCCATGAAGGCATTAAGAATGGAACGCTAATAATGAATTAAGAAAAAGTGGTTCGGGCCCAGCAGATAGCGTAATGGTTACATTACTGGACTCCCACATCGTTGATCAAGGTTCGAGTCCTGGACCTGGCAGCTTAAAGCTCACGCCAGGCACATGTGCATGCATGCTCAACATCCTGAAAGGAGACTGGAGAAGGGATTATGGCATGGCCATTCCCTTCAAGGGAGGTGATTTCTCACTTTATGTCTCTCTGTCTCTCTCTGTCTCTCCAGTGAGTATATGCACCCTATAGCAAATATCTCTCTCTCTAAAAAAAAAAAAAAAAAGAAAGAAAGAAAATGTGGTGCATATACACAATGGAATAGTACCCAACCATAAAGAATAATGAGATCCTGTCACTTGATTGAACAAAGTAGATGAATTTAGAGGATACAATGTGAAGTGAACTTAGCCAGACTATGAAAGATAAACACTGTACATCCCCACTTAACATATAGCACCAATGTCTGCACTCTGTGATGGAAACAGAGATTTCAATGGCATAGAAGTAGAGAGGACACGGGTAATAAACCAGGGACTGTGTAGGGGTACAGGAAAGGTGGAAGGGGAGGAATTGCAAAGGGGGGAAAGGATTTGGGATCTACAGACACAAGAAAATGTGTAAAAGAGGTAAATAGGTTAGGGAGCAGTGTACCACACAGAGTGAAAAAAGGAAGTTGCCAATCTAATACATACATTAAAAACAAAAAAATATAGTAGAATGAATATCAAAGCTGCACAACATAATATAATGTTCTTCGTTGGAGATGATGAATGTGTTGATATTCTTTATTTAAGCATTTTATACACTTTGTATGCATGCTTTGAAGAACCGTTCGGTAATCTATAAAGATGTACAATTATAGTAAATTAGAAATGATCATTTTTAAAAGTCCACAGTACATTTCCCCCCAACCCCAGCCCAGTTCCCTCAGACCTCCTATGGCATGGAGCTTAGCTTCAGTTCCATTCATGTTTGCCAAACTCAACCTGGAATTACTAGCTAATTGTTCTCTGAGTGTGGCTTAAGAGAAATTACGTAAAGCATTGTATAAACTATAATTCTTTCTTGAGGAGTGGCTGTCATCATCTCCATAGCTGCGTAGTAAGTTCATGTCACACTCTTCTCTTCATCCCCTGCAGGGCCAGCACCTTAGAGATTAGTAATACTCCATGGCTCCATGGAACATGTCCCTGGAATCAGTTAGCATCTGCAAAAGTAAATAATATGTTTTACACAGCCTCAGATGACATTCCGTCAAGCTGTATTGATCAAACTCTTTCAATGGCAAGTGTCAAAACTTGACTCAAAATTAGGGAGAAAAAGAGAATTCATTGAGTCAAGAAATCAGGAAATCTCGGCTAGTTCCTAGTAGATGTGGGCAGAGTTTGGTCCAGGAGTTCAACTGGCATAGCCAGAGCTCAAGATCTCTTTCTATCTTTTGTTCTGTTTATCCTGACTTGGTATTTTCTTGAGATGGTCAAAATGGCTGTGGGTGATACACTCTGGTCCCTAAGCTCACCACCCCAAAGGAACAAAGACTCTTACTTGGCAGCATCTCTATAGCAAATATCATGGAACCTCACTTGGGTTTTATGAGCCATGAAAACCTCAGTCTCTAAACACCCCAGACCATACAGCCCACTCTCCCTCCTCCCCTTTGTCCTCTGCCTGGAACCCCATTCTTTGTGGCAGAAACTAGAAGTCGTTCAATTTTCTTAAAACAGAAACTTGAGGGGGACCAGAAAATGGCATCATGGTTATGTCACTGGACTCCCACATAGTTGATGTGGTTCAAATCCCAGACCCGAAGGCTTAAAACTCACACCAGGCACATGTACGTACATGCCCAAGATCCTGAGAAGAGAATGGAGGAGAAGGGATTGTGGTGAAGCCATCCCCCCTGGGGGGTGATTTCTCACTTTCTGTCTCTTTGTCTCTCTCTCACTCTCTCGCTAGTAAGAGCATATGCCCTATAGCAAAAATTCTTTTAAAATATTTAAAAAAAAAAAAACAGAAACCTGAGAGTCATCCCCCATGTCTTCATGTCCAGATGGCTACCTAGTCTTCTCAGCTACTCCTTGTTTGTGTTTCTCTAATTTGCCCCTTTCTGTCACCCCCACTGCTGCCATCTTGGACAACTCTGGTAATGTTAGAGGGTTCCCAGGAATTAAATTCTGTCTCTGAAACTTAAAATAACCCCCAAAAAAGGCAAAAGAAAGAAAACACTTAAAGAGATTGATGCCATGTTTGGGAGAGGGGTATGCCTCTGAGAAACTCAGACCCAGAAGGGACTCCCCAAATGTAGACAGTAGGGCACCTCTCTAAGAATTAAAAAATGGCATAGATTAGAATAAATGGAGGTTGGCAAAAACACTGAGATCAAGCGAAAGGAAGTTTTCTCCTGATCTTTGCAATGAGAAAACTTTCAGGAAGAGTCTGGGCAAGTTGACTGAGCGATGATGTCATTTCATGGCTGAGAGGGAGAAAACAAAACTGGTACCTGCTGTGGTGTGTCTACCTTCTCTGAGGAGGATAGATTTCCTGGAGACAAGCAGGGAGAACATTCCTAGAAGAAAACTGGAAAGGAGTCAGTCTGTCAATGAGCTCAGCATTGCTCAAAATCCGCCAAGACACTGTGCTTCCCATCCCCAGCCCATTCTCAATTGGAATCAATACCTTAAGTCTTTGTTCATATACGTCGATGGTGCCTGCTCCGGACTGAGAATCGGAACATCAATAGGACCCCATCCTTCCACACGAGGAACTGGGATATAGTCCCATAGATAATGAGTATAATATTGGGGAGCTGTTAGAAACTATACAGAGAGTGTGGGACTTAAAGGACAGAGCTTGATTCCGCCTTGGTCTGGAAAGACAGCAGAGACATCCTAGAAGAGTTGCGGTTCGATTAGGAAAGGCCAGAGGTGGCCGTAGTGGCTGTAGTGATAAAGAGCAGGCCAGGAAGAGGAGCCGCGGCAAGCTAGTGAGAAGAACTATAAGGCATGTGGTTGGAGATTTAAGGAAACTTAATACACAAGAAAACCAGAAGGTGCAAGAATAGACCAACATGAAAAACAGAGACTGCCATGAAGCACAGAAATGAAAACATAGTGAAAGGAGGCTGTGCGATTTGAGAGTGCTCGGACAGGGGAAAGACCATGAGCTCTTTAGAAACCACTCGGGTTGGGTCAGTGGTTGTAGGGGAAGGGCCTCTGTCCTCTCAGAGGTGATTTGGCCCGGTCTTGGGGCAATTTTAGTTGTTACAACCTGGTGGAGAGCAGTGGGAGGGGGCGCCATGCTCTCCTGGCGTGTAGTGGACAGAGGCTAGGGATGCTTCTAACCATCCCACAGCACACAGGACAACCCCCCACAACAGAGAAACATACAACCCAAATGGCAATACCATCAAGGTAGAAAAACCCTGGACAAAACTAATGTCATTTCCCTCATTGAAACACTAGAAACCAAAGGACATAGTGGTAATTATAGAGTTCAATATGTTTCAAAAATACATTCCGAAGAAATGTAATTATTCAGAATGCTGACGTTTGTTTTGGTCAAATACATTTAGAAAATTCTGTGTTGAAGTAAGTTTCAGTGTAGAACTTCTCAGAGTCATAACATTTCTTTATATACTTTGTGTGGTTTTTCCTGGATTTATCCCACCCAGAAACCTTTGGCCTTCTTTGTAATGAGACAGTTGTCTTTTCATTAATTTGTAAAACTCTTTAAAATTTTTCTAAGTAGTCAGATGTCTCCATATTTGGTACCAATATGTGATAGTGGCCAAGGTGTTGATTTGAAACTAGGTTACATGACTTGTTAGTTGTGAGACCTTAAGTAAATTACTTAGTTCCCAACCTTAGTTTCTGCTTATGTAAAATAAAGTGATAATAGTATCAACCTCATAAACTAATTGTGAGGATTAGAGACATTATGCATCCCAGGCGTATAGCTCAATGCCTGGAACAAGTGGGCACTCAATAAATATTACCTGTCATTATTAAGAATGCCTGGACCTGCTCTGGGGACCCAATAGCCAACTGAAGTCAATAAGGGAGATATGACTAAATAGCATCATACGTCAGAGCCTTTATTTCACTTGGCTAAAAGCTCAGTGTGAGTTAAATGAGTATCGGGTTGCCAAAAACTAATTAACAAATGCCAAATAAATAGATGAAAATGGGCTTACCTTCATTAGTCATCAGAAATACAAATTAAAACCACAGTGAGATGCCATGAAACCATTATGATAACTAAAGTTTAAAAGATTGATCATGCTAAGTGTTGGGGAGGACATGGAACACACACACACAACTAGTGAAAATGCAAATTGATAAATCACTTTGGAATATCGCTTGATATTATCTACTAAGCTGAAGTTACACAGGAGTTCTTTTGCATACATCCAACCTAAATGCATGCACATGTACATCAAAACGCATGTTTATAGCAGCTTTGTTCATAAGTGCCAAATACCATACATCCATTAACAATAGAATAAATAAGTTGCAGTCTATTAACCAAACGAAATATTTTCAGCAATAAAAATGGATTAACTGCAACTACATAAAGCAATGTGAATAAAAACTTGCAAACCTATCATAAGTGAGATGTTGGTTACAAAGAATGCCTATGTCTATAAATTCACTTATATAAAATACAAAAGAGATTTTGAATTCTTAAAAAAAGAGAGAGAGAGAGAGAGATTTTTGCACTCTGGTGTGTGCACTCACCAGAGACAGAGAGATTCAGAGAGACAGAAAGCAAGAAATCACCCCTCGGGGGGATGACCACACCACAATCCCTTCTCCTCCTTTCTCTTCTCGGAATCTTGGGCACACACACACAAGCACCCAGCATG